CGGCTGCACCTGCTCATCCTGGCTTGAACCACTGGGTTTCAACTGGCCACGATGTGCTTTCGTTATCTGGCCAAATCAAACTGAGAGACTACAGTGAGGATTTCCCCTCCCTTGGGTGTTAAATCTGATCAGGTTCTCATGGTTAGACCTGAGGGTTCTCATCCCATAGCTGAACTGCAAAGATAGGAAGCAGCCCACAGAGAAGCCATTAGTTTAGGCTTTGGGTGTGATTTAATACATGTGGAAGCTAAAATCTCTGCTTCGGCTGGGGCAGGAGGTGGGCTGAGTTTCTATAAATACCATTATTCATATAATCACTGGGATTGAGTATCTGCTAGAATCTATAAAGTATTTCCAAGAGTCACTAAAATAATGCTGGCATTTTTGTTAAAATTCTATGTTCACCTTTTAAAAAAGAAGGCTGTCCCCATCCTCTGGCTTCATTTGGTCTCATCATGTTAGATTTCTTAGGCCAGTTCTTGTTTATGTCATTTTAAACTAGAAATCTGCAGCATGTGGCCCTCTTGGTTTCTAACTGTGAAGGTTTTGTTCCAGGACTGTGTATTTGTGTGCCTGCACTTTGTTGTTGTAAAGGACACATCAGTTCTTGACAAACAAAGGTACAAAACTAGTGAAGTGGAAGCAGGTGAAAGGGAATGTGGAAAATAGATCCAGGTGGGGGCCATCCGAAGCTCTGGATCAGGGCCTCCTCAGAGGTCCAGAGGGAGAGCTTGCTGCCCTCCTGGCCCAGAGGCTTTCATGGTAATAATTATCCTAAGAGGTGACATGGATCAAGCACCCGTTATGTATCCATTCTAGAGCTCTCCCATGCATATGCAGGACTGACGCCAGGAAACTGGTCTCCCTGCCTCCTGGGAGCGCCCAGCTATCTGTCCTGCACTTCTGCAGAGCCACCCTGGCCACCAGCCTTGCCTCCTGAATGTCTGTGCTGAGGAAGAGTGGACCTCTGGTTTCCCATCTGTTTTGGTTGTCTGACTGCACATCTGCAGAGGCCTCACTTTTGTCTTTCTGCCATTGAAACACAGGAATTGATCTTCGGAGTACTCCTGAGTCCTTCACAGAAGAGGCAGGAATGAGACACGCTAGGATTGGGCAGCCAGGGCTTCTCTGAGCCAGTAGGTGCTAAGGTCCACAGCAGTCATTTTTAGTGCCCACCAGAGAAAGCTGTGGGTGTCTGTTCTTTGTGTGGCTAGTTGTTACTCCCATTCTTACCACCTGGACTGACCTCAGGGATGGCCTGAAGAAGGGGCAGCAGGGGCTTCCCTCCAGGTTGGCTGGTTTTCACCCGCATACCTAAGCCCAAGCATACACTTTCATTTATCCATGTGTGTTCTGCGTGTGAGAGGAGCTTGACAGGTACCATTTCTTACTATAAATATTCATTTTTTAAAAAAACAATGCTAACTATTTCTACTTAGTCATTTTCTCTGACAAACATACCAAGTTTATCAGCAATGAAAACCCTCTAATCACACTGGTCTTCTCACTTCTAAAGAACATGCAAGGTCCAAACCAGCTCCGTCCTAAGTGGGCCTGGTGGCCCACCTCAGCCTGCATTGCCAGCCCACAGCCTGCTCAGATGGCAGAAAGTCTTCTGCAGAGACCTGTGAAAAGCCAGGCTGGGCCGTGAGCCAGTGCCAGTGTGCGTGTGGCTGCACATGCCTAAGAGGGAATGACCTCAGGAGGAAGAAAAGCTTTTGCTCCTCACGCTGGACGTTGCTTATGTGGCTAAGACACAGTGGCATTCCAGACAATGGGGCCCCTGCAGCCTGGCTGCTCCTCTGCTGTAGCGGCCTGCATGTCACTACCTGCCATCAGCATCTTCACCAGTGGAGGAAAGGTCAGGTGCCCCAACTTCTGTTGAACTGGGCACTGCAGCTCCAGTGAATCCTGACCCCCATGCTGTGCTAATGGACAGCAAATAGATTTGCTCGTGCTGGCCAGGTGCACAGAAGCAGCCGGTCCTCAGCTGTGCTTGAGGTGACCAAGAGGGATAGTAAAGGCAGCCTTTTCCAAGCCATTGAAGTGGGCCTGCGGTTTCACTTTTGCAGAGATAATGGATGGAAAGAAGGTGGCTGACAGCTCCTCACTGGCCTGGGACGGAGTTCCCTAACTGCAGACGGTTGAGATTAACAGCTTAAGAGCTCGTGTCAATCCTGCCCAGTCCAGAGATTTCCCTCTTATTGCAGTGCAGTCGGTGCTGGTCCCCCAGCCCATCCCCTACCCCGGACACAGGGGCTCGAGAAAGGATGGGGACTAACATTCAGCTTCAAAATGCCCCTAATGAAAGGAGAAAGTGAATCCCAAGAACAGGATGGCAAAATTGATATTTGGCATCTGGCAGAGCCTAAACCAGGTGACTTGTGAACATCAAAAAGATTGTGTTCATCCAAGGTACCACAGTAATCTTGCTGGCACAGGATGTCACCAGGATGCTGTGTGACATCTCAGCACCAACGAATTTGAGAAGTTTACTAAGCAAATTTCAGGGTGATTCAAATTTGAGGGAGATAACTAACCTGGTTGACAACAAAATTAAAATAAAAAATAATTCACTTTAGTTGGCTAGAAAACAGGCAGGGATGTGCAGTGTCATGTGCCTAGAAGCGAGGATTGAGAAACCTGGTCTGAAGAGCTTCAGGTGAAATTTCCCAAAGGTTTTTAGTGTAAATTCTCACATTTTGAAAGAATTACGCTGTTTCTACTCGGTCATTTTCTCTGTCTGGTAAGCCTTATGTCCCACGATAAGGCTCCCTGCGCAAAGCACGTGTGCACACAAGTCTGCTTCCTCAAAAGCGTCCTGTGCTGTCTTCATCTAAGTGGACGGCAAGGTCAGAGGAGGGCGGCCCTCCAGCACCCAGGACTTAGGTCAGCCCACGCCCACAGTGTTGTGCTCTGTTCTAGGCACATTTTGATGTGATGCATAAATGAGAGCATGGGATAGAAGGGACAAGGCTGGAAGCTGCTGGATCCTGAAACACAGAAATGAACAAAGCAGTCATAGCCCTTCTTCTCAGAGAGTTTATAGTCCAGTGGTAGGGACAGCCTCAGTGAGCCCGGGACAGGAAGGTGGGACCCCCGAGGACTTCTTGTCCTGAGTCCTCTGGACTAGGAGACGTTGGGGAGAGCAGGCACTCCAAGAGCCGACAGGTGAAGAGCCGCTGATGGGCCAAGGGAAAAGACCCCTCCCAGGCAGAGGCAGCACCCAGCCAAGGGGCAGCCACGGAGCCAGGGGGCTGGGAGTGTTCCCCAGAGGAGCCAAGGGATAGAGGGAGAAAGGAAATGATGCGCTGGCCACTCAGGGAAGAGCAGGTCCACCACTCTTCTCCTGCCCATGAAGATCAGGTTCTGCTTTTACGAGGAAGAACTTTCCACTCGATAGGCAGAGCAGCCCTGGGGCCTTGGGCCAAGGCTGATATTCTAGAAAAGGTGAGTATTTCCTTGGGAGGGAAACGAAGCTAGAAGATTTCTGTGTTCTCTCCAGGCTGTCCATCAAGCCAGGGAGTTGCGCTCAGGGCACCTGTGGGCACCGCCTCGCTGTGCCTGGGCCACATCTCACTGGCTCACCTGGGTGGGCCCCCGCTACAGCACAGGCCTGTCCTCTAGTCAGCAGCCACATCGAGGATGCAGCCCGCTGTGCGTTTGTGTGACGGTGGAGCTGGAGTGGAAGTAGTCGGGAGGAGCAGCCCTCCTGCTGCAGAGTTAGGTCCTAGTCTTCACCCTGTCAGTGCTCACAACCTATAATGAAATGAATGTCGCCTTCAGTTTCTAAACACCAGCCAGCACTCCACTTCTGAGAAGCGTCCCCTCCTGTGTATCCCCACGCCCTCTCAGCAGTTTCCCTAAGGCTCTGAGGGAGGTGGGGACTGGGCCTGGGAGTCCCCTGAGTCCCTTCCACTGCCCTGCACCCTCTTCCTCTCACTGGGGCCTTCCATCATGTTGGCCCTGCTGGTCAGCCCCTCCTCCAGCCCTGTGCACACGCACCTCACCCCCACTCGGTGACACCCAGAGTTCCCTGAGCAGGGGCAGGAGAAGAGTGGTGGACCTGTTCTTCCATGTGTGGCCAGTGTATCACTTCCTATCTGAAAGGAATTTTTAAATGGTGAGGGAGTCCTCAGGTCAGTCCACAGAGCCTCTTTAATGCATATGTCATTGAAAATCTCAATGGTTAGAAGAGTATCATCTCTTGCCATGTTGGTGCAGGTATGATCAATTTTAATATAAGTGCAAAAACTGGATTCCTGTAGCTAATCCAAGGCTATCAATATTTTTATTGTCCTTCTTAGTTGGGAAAACAGATTACAGGTAAACTTTAGTAATATTGCCGATTCGAACATTGGAGACTGTACAAAGTGCAGGAAGCTGAATTCGTAGCCCCAGGATTGGTGTGGCTGCGTCCCCGTGGGCTTCAGCTGCCTCACACCAAGCTCGGCCTCCTGTGTACATGGCCACCACTGCTGCTGCCTACAGAGGCCACAGGCGGACAAGGCCTCAGCCCCCAGAGGCAGGAGCTGATGTGTTACCCAAGGACTGAAAGCGTGTCGTGATTCTCAGGAGCAGGCGTCCAGTGAGGCAGTTCACATGCATGTGACACCTGCCTGTCCTAAGTCAGAGCAGAAGCTCGATCAGGAGTGTCCCAGGGATGCATTCCGACCCCTTGTGCCTAGCTGCTCCCAAGGCCTGGTCCCAGTGGGTCACTGACCCTGAGAAGCCCCATTTCCTCAACTATAAAATGAAGTTATATGAGATAATAATGCGTATTTATTGGCCATATGTAGTAAACTGGTACCTGTTATGCTTTTTAGAACAGAAGATTTCACATTGGAGTAGAAACCAGTTAGTTGGTTTGAGTTCTTTTGGGGGAGGAGGTGGTGGTTTCAGTTTTGACCCTTTCTACAAAGTTCACACAGGAGCCTTTTGGGGGTCGGAGGATAAGCAGTGCTGTCGCCAACCTCCTGGGTTCTGCTGTCTGTTCACAGGTCGCCCGGCTCATGGAGATGGGATTCTCCAGAGGTGATGCTTTGGAAGCCTTAAGAGCCTCAAACAATGACCTCAATGTGGCCACCAACTTCCTACTGCAGCACTGATGTTCCAGTCCAGCCACTGACTGGCAGTGGCATGGTCCCCGCCACCACCTCAGCCCAAGTACTAAGAAGGCTCTGGCAGCGATGTCTCATGGGGAGAGGGTGGTTCCCGCTGCACCTCTTCCTGTCTCCGAGATGGTTACTGTTGTAGTACCAAAATAAGTTTGCCATTAAATTAGCATGTATTTTCTATCTTTATTTTTTTATTGGGCATTTTCCTTAGTCTGGAGAATCATCATTCATTCCTACTGTGTTCAGGTGCATTAAAATTGCAGATTTCTGTGGGCAATTGAAAAGCAGTCCAGATGGGAAATCGTTACTGTTGTAATGTTCTTACCGAAGTGTCTTTTCCTGTGTACCCTCTGATCATCGCCACCATGAAGAGGGACATGTAAAATTATTCTTTATTTTTTATGGACTTTTTTAATCACGATTTTTTTGTTGTTGAACTTTGTTCAAATCCCACTGGCTGTCAGTGTCCCCACTTCCCAGAGGATGAGCTGTATCCACCGGGCCTCGGTGATGAAGGAGAAATTTAAGCTCATCCCAGCTCCACACTGTTCCAGCCTGTTCCAGTCAGGGAATTTCTCCAGCTCATTCTCCCAACTTCCATTACAAATAATGAGGGTAATCAAGTACTGACTTGAGGTTCTGGAATACACCATGACGCTTACTTGAGGTTAATTTTGCTCAGACAAGTCAGAGTTAGCCACTCAGGCTCGAGGGTGTCACAGGACAAAGGGAATAGTTGCTTTCTGGAGCCTTGCAGGGCTTTGCCAGAGAGCATGGTGGCTGACCCACTGCAGGCTCAGCCCCAGAAGAGAAGAGAAAGAGCCTTGCCGACCCTCATCCGGCTAGAGGGCTAACCTGTCTCCCTCCACGCTCACAGCAGGCCCATCTGGCAGCAGGTTCTCCCTGGCCCCGGGCCTGGCTCCTGTGGTGGGTGAGGCAGAGCAGACTGCAGAAATGCAGTCAGGGAGGTGGGGAGGCAGGAGGCGGCCACTGTGGTTGACTAGCTCCAGAGCTATTACCATGTAAGCGAATTGTGCGACTGGTATGTTCCACAAAACGAGCAGCACTGTATCAAATTGATGCAAATTTAGATGTGTGATACTTACAATAAAGTTTTTAATGTGTTTTACTTTTCAGTATTTTTAAATTAATTTTATCCGTGCATTGAGATCATATGTAATAATGGGATTCGTGGTGATATATTCACACATGCACATAACATAACTTGGTCAATTTGATCCCCAGAGCCGCCCCGTCCCATTCCTCTACTCTGCTGGGCTTCTGTCTGTTTTCATGAAATTCTGTCCCCCCACCCCCCTTTTTTAATCTTAGCTTCCACATTTGAGAGCAAACACAATGACCCTTGATTTTCTGAGTCTGGTTTATTTAGCTTTACATAATGCTCTCACGTTTCATCTATTTTCCTGCAAAACAGCATAAGTTTTTTTTTTTTAATGGCTTAAAAGAAAATCCAGAGCACATATATACATTTTCTTCATTCATCTGTTGATGGACACCTAGGCTGGTTCCATAATTTGACCATTGTGAATTGCACTGGGCATGCAGGGATCACTATGGTATGCTGACTTTAATTCTTTTGGGTAAATACTGAGGAGTACTACAGCAAAGTCTTATGGTAGTTCTGTTCCTGGTCATTGGAGGAACCACCATACTGATATCCAAAGTGAGTGTTCTAATTTACAATCCCAACAGTGTATAAATGTCCCTCTCCCCTCCCCCCCCCACATATCCTCACAGGCATTTATTCTTACTTGTATTCTTGATGATTTCCACGAAATTTCAGTGTAGTTTTTATTTGCATTTTCCTGATTGCTAAAAATTTTGAGTGTTTTTGATATTTGTTGGCCATTTGTATTTTTTCAAGAAGTGTCTGTTTAGTTCATTTGCCATTTATTTGTTGGGTTTTGTGTGTGTTTGTGTGTGTATAAGTTTTTGAGTTCTTTATATATTCTGGATATTAATCCTCTTTGAAAGGAGCTGCACTCCCTGAGTCGGCTCTCTCTTCACACTCTTGTTTCGTTTGCTGTACAGAAGCTTTTTAATTTGGTATCATCTCTTATATAAATTCTTGGTTTTATTTTGTGAGCTATAAGAATCCTATTGAGGAAGTCATCGCCTGCATCCATATGTTAAAGTGTTGAGTCTATGTTTTCTCCTAGCAGTTGCAGATTTTCTGATCTAATTCCTAAGTCCTTGATCCATTTTGAATTGACGTTGTGCAGAGCAAGAGATAGGATCTAGTTTCAGTCTTCTACATATGGATACTAGGTTTTCCTGCACTGTTTGTTATGAAGGCTGTCTTTTCTCCAACAAATGTTTTTGGCACCTTTGACAGGAATCAGATGATTATTCCTGTGTGGTTTTTGTCTCTGTGTCTTCTATTCTATTGTATTGGTCTTTATACTTATTTTTATGCCAGTACCTTGCTATTTTTGTTACTTTAGCTCTATAGTATAATTTAAAAGTGGGTATTGTGATGCCTTTAACATTGCTCATTTTGCTTAGAATTGTTTTAGTTATTTATTTTATTCCATATGAATTGTTTTAGTTTATTTCTTTTATTCCATATGAATTTTGGGAGTGTTTTTTCTAGTTCTGTGAAGAATTTTATTAGTACTTTGTTGGGGGTTGCATTGAATCTGTAGATTGTTTTTGTTAATTTGGCCTTTTTGGGGAATGGGGGTAAACTTGGGACTGAACCCAGGGGCACTCAACCACTGAGCCATATCCCTAGCCCTTTTTTAAATTTTATTTAGAGACAGAGTATCACTCAGTTGCTTAGGACCTCACTAAATTGCTGAGACTGGCTTTGAACTTGTAGTCGTCCTGCCTCAGCCACCTGAGCCACTGGGATTACAAGCATGTGCCACCATGTCTAGCTAAAATGGCCATTTTAACAATATTAATTCTGCCTATTCATGAGCATGAGAGGTCTTTCCATTTTCTCGTGCCTTCTTCAATTTCTCTCTTCAGAGTTCTATAATATTCATTGTAGAGGTCTTTCACCTCCTTGGTTAGATTTATTCCTTGGGTGGGTTTGTTTGTTTGTTTTTATTTTTTGGAGACTTTAAATGGAATTGTTTTCCTGATTTCTCTTTCAGTGGATTAATTGTTGGTGTATGGAAAAGCTACTGATTTTTGTATGTTGAATTTTTATATCCTGATACTTTGCTGAACTTGTTTATTAGCTCAACAAGTCTTCTGGTAGAACTTGTTGGATCTTCCAAGTATAGGATCATGCCATTTGCAGACAGTGATTATTTGATTTCTTCCCTTTCCTATTTGTATCCTTTTTATTTCTTTCTCTCGTTTAATTTCTCTGGCTAAAGCTTTAAGTACTGTATAGAATATGAGTGGTGAGAATGAACATCATTGTCTTATTCCTGAGTTTAGAGGAAATGCTTTCAGTTTTTCCCCATTAACTACAATGTTGCCTTTGGATTTATCATAGATAGCCTTTATGATGTTGAGGAAAGTTTCTTCTGACCCCACTTTCTTCATTTTTTTCATCCAAATGAACTTAATTTTGTTGAAAGCTTTGTTTGCAACTATTGAGATGATTCTGTGATTTCTGTCCTTTATATTACTTATGTGGTGAATTACACTTATTGATTTGCATATGTTGAACCACCCTTGCAACCCTGCAATGAAACCAACTTCATCATGGTGTAACCAACTTGATTGTGATTCACAGTCTTTTAACATGTTGTTCAATATGATTTGCTAATATTTTATTAAGGATTTTGTGTCTATGGTCACAAGGATATTAATGTGTAGTTTTGTTTCCTTGTTGTGTCCTTGTCTGGTTTAAGTATCAGGGAGATATTGGCTTTGTAGAATGAATTTGGAAGTGTTCCTATTTGGAAATGTCCCTTTCTGTTTCATGAAATAATTTGAGGACCATTCACATTAGTTCTTTTTTTTTTAACTTTTTTTTTAATTTGTAGATGGACACAATACCTTTATTTATTTATATGTGGTGCTGAGGATTGAACCCAGTGCCTCACATGTGCAAGGTGAGCACTCTACCACTGAGCTACAATCCCAGCCCCACATTAGATTAGTTCTTTAAACAGGTAGAATTTAGCTACCCAATCCTGGGCTTTTCTTTGTTGGAAGGCTTTTTATTACTGTTTCAATTTTTTTATTATTAGTTGGTTTAGGTTTTCTATATCCTCTTGGTTCAATTTTGGTATGTCATGTGTATCTAGAAATTTATTCATTTCTTCTAGATTTTTTCAGTTTATTAGAGTATTGGTTTTCAAAATAGTCCTTTTTCATCTCCAATTTTATTAATTGGGTCTTCTCTTTCTTTTGGTTAGTTTAGTGAAAAGTTTATCAATCTTGCTTATCTTTTCAAAGAATCAGCTCTTTTGGGCTGGGGATGTGGCTCATGCCGTAGTGCGCTCGCCTGGCATGCATGCAGCCCAGGTTTGATCCTCAGCACCACATACAAACAAAGATGTTGTGTCCGCCGAAAACTAAACAAATAAATAAATAAATATTTTAAAAATTCTCTCTCTCTTAAGAAAAAAAAAAGAATCAGCTCTTTGTTTCAGTGATTTTTTGTATTGATTTTTAATTCTCTATTTCATTACTTTTGGCTCTGACCTTAATTATTTCATTCCTTCTACTGGTTTTGGAAATGGTTTTCTAGGGCCTTGAGGTGCATTATTAGATTATTTAGGCTCTTTCTGATTTTTTATGTAGGCACTTTTCACAAACTTTCCAACGGCCATAATAGTGTCCCAGAGATTCTGATATGTTGTATCTTTCTATTCTCATTTGCTTCTTAAAACTTCATTTCATTGTGATCTGATAAAATGCAAGGTGTTATATAAATTTTTTTATTAAAATGCTAAAACTTGCTTTATGGCCTAAAATATGCTCTGTTTTCAAGAAGGTTCCACAAACAGCTGAGACAAAATTGTATTTGGGGTCTCTCAGAGTCTTTACATCAAGTAGTGTTTGTTTTATGTAATTAGTATAATGACATTTGGGGGCATAAATATTTAGTATCATTTTATCTTCCTGTTTGATTGTTCTCTTTGTCTCTTCTGATTAATATTGACCTGAAGTCTGCTTTTTCACATATGAGAGCAGCTGCTCCTGCTTGTTTACGGGCTCCATTTCCATGGAATATCATTTTCCATCCTTTCACTTTCAGGCTGTTTTTGCCTGTAAGATGGATCAAGATGCAAGCAGCTTATTGTTTGGTCATATTTTTTATTTCATTCTTCCAACTGTGTCTTAATTATAGTGTAGACCATTCGCATTCAGTGTTATAGAGTTTTTTATTCTTTCCATTTTGATTTATTTCTAATGTTTAATTTGGTCCTATTTATCATTTGCTTAGCTACTTTTCTAATGAGATTTATCCATTCATGAATTCTGGAGGTTTTATTTTTTATATGTTTATTTCTTAGTTGTAGGTGGACACAATATCTTCACTTTACATTTATGTGGTGCTGGGGATCGAACCCAGTGCCTTCTGCATGCCAAGCGAGCACTCTACCACTGAGCCACAACCCCAGCCCCAAATTCTGGAGTTTTTTGATTCCTTCTATATATAATATGTCTTTAAATAATTTCTGTAATGCTGGCTCAGTGTTCATAAATTCTTTTAATGTATGCTTATCTTGTAAGGTCTTTTATTTCTTCAGTTCTGAAGGAGAGCTTTATTAGGTATTGTAGCCTTGGCAGTTATTTTTCTCTCAGTTATTTTCATTCATTTTTTTCTGGGTTCTCTTGGAATACATGATGCTTTTTTTATAATCACTCTTCTGAATTCTTTATCTGGTATTTCAACCACTCCAATATCTTTGGAGTCAGTTCCTGGTATATTATGAACTTTAGGAGGTGTTGTGTTACCTTGTTTTTTCACATTTGTTGTATTCCTATGTTGAGATGTGGCATCTGTTGGAATGGACTTCTCTTCCACTTTTATGTGAGGACCTTTTCAGGGAATAGCCTTCTCTTGGGGAAGTACTCTGGGATATCAGATTGTTGTAAACTGTTGAATATATTTCCAGGTGGTTTTCATAGCATAGTTTCCCTACTAGTTCTTTGGTGATGATTAGTGTACTTTGATATAATGTGTATTGTGTCA